TTTAATTTAGTTATAAAAATTTTTTTTTTTTTTTTTTTTTTTTTTTTAAATATACATTCTGGTGTTATAGAATAGGAATGGAGAGTACTGTTACACCGCTTCTTCTAGGAGTGGGATTCGTTCAGATAGGGAGACAGATAGTGGGGTTCGTTCAGATTGGGAGACAGATAGTGGGGTTAGTTTAGATAGGGAAAATGTGTCCCTTCCATAATTTTTTTCTGGAATACCTTCTCCACTGTGAAGTCAACTTCCTAATTTCATTAAGTTCACTAAATATTAATCTTGGATTTATTGGAAATATTACTTTCACAGTATCTATGACCAGTTACCTGAGACTTCACTTATATGTTGGGTTTTCCCCCCCCCCAAGCTGCTTCAGCTTTATGTGGTAAACTCAAAAACCTCATTGAAATTATCAGTAAACATTATCTCAATTTTAATTGAGTCCACACAAAAAAAAATCTGATTCATTTTAGGAGAACCTCATCTGAATAACAGCGAGTGTACCTGGAGAATATTCTATTTGTAGCTTCCTTTGTTGAGAGTCATACTTGAGACATGAGTGGAAAACAACATGTGGGTATAGTAGGATGTCCATCTCCATGCTTTTTAAGTCAATATCCTGTGATTTACTTTGGGAGAGAAATGACACTGCTTTGTAGCTTTGAAAGCTAGTAATCCGTAAGGTGGTATCAGTGACTCCTGAAGGAATTTGTAGGCTTTTGTTATTTTTTTCCAGCAGCACCAAAAAACCTGACTGCCCTGTCATTTTCAGTTCCTGGAGCATACATTCATGCTTTTTGACAAAGTAAGTTTAAATAAAATAAAATAAATGCAAGCTAATCACGTACATCTATTCTTAGACCCTCACAGTGTTTTTTTTTTTTTGTCTTGCTTATGGCAGTCTTGGTGAACAGATGTGACCTGTTCTTCATTTACAGGCAGCAGTCTGTGATGCACAAATTAATTTGGTGAATGCCTGTATGTAGCTATGTGTCTTGAAGGATTTTCTTCTTTCTTGATAATTGATTGCACCATTGTTCTTTTAACAGATGTCTTTTTTACTCTCTCTTCTAGCAAATGCCAGATGTGAACGTAACGTGGGATGGAGAAAGCTGCAGGCAACTGCAGTCCATTGACATTTCTATTGCTGTGGCAACAGACCGAGGTCTCATTACACCAATCATAAAAGATGTTGCTGCCAAGGGAATAAAGGAAATTGCTGCCTCTGCAAAGGTAGGTCTTAAATGTACAGTAGGCTGAGGAATATAGTAGCTATATAGTTTTTTGTAGCAGAAAATGTAGCATGACCCAGATACACATCAGTACACAGGCAGTTTCAAAATGGATCTAAAGCAGTTTCAGCATTCCTTAAACTTCAAAATTATTATTAATGTTGCAACTCTGTTCATTTTTAATTAACAGTAACTTAGCCATCATGTTATTTAGTTAAGTGCTGGCTAGACTGAAAAATAAACCTGTACAGGCTTCTGCAATTTAACATAATTGTATTTCTTTAATCCTCATGGGAAAGCTAGAAAATGTTAATTTCTTTAGTATTTCCGGTCTTTGGGTTTGAGATTTTGTTTGTTTGGGAGGTTTTTTCCTCCCTTTCCCAGAACTTTGCTTGTAGCTGCTTGTGTTACTCTCTGTGCAGTTATATTATGGCACGTATTTCTGTCTGCATTTTTTTCAATATGCAGTTCAGTTGGGAATGTCACCCAAAAGGTAACATTAAACTCCTCAGACTGATGAGCAGTATTTTGCATAGGCCAGGTGCCAGTTAGTGGCTTGAATCTGTGGCAGTGGTTGCCAGCCACAGAAGTAGTGCTTTGTGGCAGGCAAAAATACGATGAATGATGAAATGCCCCAACACAAGCCTTTTTTTGTCATTTAATGAGTGCTAATCAAAGGCCTACAGTATCTGAGGAATGTAATGGAAGTACCTGCTAGGGCATAAAACTGTCCCAAAACTAGACACAAGCTGCACTTTGTAAATTTTTGTCCTTTACCAAAAACTACAGTAATCATAAGTCTGTGTTGGCAGAGGGGAACAACCAACAAAGTTGTAGCAGAAAAAGGCGTAAGTGTCATGCCACAAAACATTCATAATTGGATGCTCTTAAGATTTTTCCAGTCCATATTGCTTACTTCATATTGAACATGTTGTAAAACCAAATCCTTTCATTAATATAATAGCCAGCCAAGGAGGAAGGTCAGCTGAGATTGTTACATTATTCTGATTAGTGATAGAATGACAAGAAAAGCAGCATTATGAGAAGTGAAGTATAGGTTGTGTTTTCATTATCATCCCCAATACCTGTGATACTGTGATGCAGTATTACAAACCTCTCTTACCATAAATTAGTGTCCTGCAGTTCCCATGATGGGAATGTACACTTGCATTATGTTTAATAGGGCTATGATAAAGTAAGCGTTCCCCTTTCATTTGAAATGGAATGTATGTAACATAGGTCATACTATGCAATATGAAAGTCATTAGGTCACATAGCTTGCAGGTGTCCACACCAACATAATTTTGCTTTTCAACTTCTTCACTGAATTATTGAAATAAATATATACCCGGTATGCACATGTGGGAGGCACAGACTGAAACTGCAGCTGCTTCTCTGCTAGTCTCCCTGTAGTTTGGCAGGTGCTTTCTTTGTGTAGATTGCTTATATGTCCCCTTCTGTTGCATGTTAATTTTAACTTCTTTCCAGGTCATGTGCACCCTAGCACCATATTTTCATCATTCAACTAATGCAATTGCACATGTGCATTATGCTTGTATTGACCCTATTATTTGAACGCTGTTCCCGTGGCTATTGTCTTCTGGTTCACTAATTATTCAGAGATGAATAAAAGCCTAAAATAAAATTCAGTGTATCCTTTTAACTTTTAAATTCATAATTAGGGTGTCAAAGTTCTGTAAAATCTGGTGTAAGCTTGAATTTAGTGGGTGATTCATTAGAATGTGATTCTCTTAAACTTCTTGGTGTTTATTTCTAAGCTGAAGTCATTGCAGTCATTAAACTACCATGGCCTTTCAGAACCCTTGCCTGAAAGATGTTCAGAAATGTATACAGGGAAGGCCGTTGTTTACCATGACCAACAGAGTTATATTACAATGTGAAAGGGGATTAATCCATATCACAACTATAACTACTAACCAACTCATTATCCGTGTGGAGTTTATCTTGTAATGACTCTACCTCCATCCACACACAAACAAAAATAAGTCAATTCAATTATACTTTCCACTTACAGACTCTGCCCTTAAAGGCAGGGGTGAGGTTTTATAGAAATTACCTCTTGGTAGACTGAATTGAGTGCTTGACAGGATATTCATAGAATGAATGTAGAAAATCCATGGAAAGCAGAATAGGCAATTCCTGGAAATCAATCTAGAAATTAAAAAAAAAAAAGTCAGTTCTTAGAAAGAACATGGAAAAAAATCCTAGAAAACAGTGGTGGAATTCCTAAAAAGGGAGTGGAAAATTCCTAGAAAACAGAGGGGATTCATGGAATAATTTTCTCCAAGAAAGTTTCACAAATAGGATATATCACTTTTTTCACGTTGTGATGAAGTAGATTTTTTGGGTTTTTTTATTCACTTTCACTGAAATTTCCCTAACATAATTAAATGATTGGAAACTATCATTAGTTTTATTATTTTTACCAGAAGAAGGAAAATATAAACAGTGTTGCTTTTATCAGTCTTCCCAGAAGCAGTTCTGAGCCTATTTCCCTGACTGTGCTTTTGGAAACAGGTTTGCTTTTTTTTTTTGTCTTAAAATGTCATAATGCTGCAGTTGTCACACCATGACATTTTCCATGTGCTTTTCCACCTGTGGAATAAATATGATACAAGCCAAAACCACTAAATGTATTCTGCATTAATAGGATAGATCATCTGTCCTGCATATATTCCCACTTCAGTCTCTGCTGTCAGTTGAAGAGCTCCTCATTTTGAAAAGGTTGCTACTAATGGAGAAGTCATCTGACACATTTCCAGTCACCACCTTTTCCATTGGGTACTCATAGGGTGTTTGGAATGGGGTGGTGGCTGAATAACTGGCTCTTGACGCCCCAAAGAGTGCCATTTCTCTTGAGGTCCGCATTGTCCTTTCTTCCTTATGTGACAACTACTGTAAGAATTATTCATCCTGATTCCCACTGCTTCCATCTAAGGAGACTTCTGAATTAGAAATATCCTAGGGGGGAATAATGTTCTGTTTCTGTGATCTTATCTTCGAACATAGTATGAACTTCTTGGGCTGTATTTTGAACAAAACGTTTGTGGAAAGTTTCTACTGCTATATTTAGAAGTAGAAAAGTGTCACAAATGAAGTGGAGGTCACAGGAAGGGTGGTCTTTAAGGTGGTTGAATGCTTATCTGGAAGAAATACATTCTCTCAATCTGCTAGAAAGTTCTGAAGTGGTACATGGCAGTTTCTTTAAACAAATATGTTAAGAAGAATGCTGTGAATTTGTCTTATCAGTATTTTGCTAGATATTTTTAACGTATGGTGGTTCCATTGTGAAAACTGGAGCAAGGTTTGTAAAGTGAGAGAACAGCTCTTATTGTGTCTTATTTGTAGCTGAGTCTCTTTGCCAAATCATTGCAGCTACAACAACAATGTTGCTGAGGTGTTTCCCTAACTCCAAAAGCAGATGACTTTTTAATGGCTGTATGGTACTTATGTCTTACTGAAGTAAAAAGAATTAGTCTATTACAACACTTTAATTTCTTTCCTCTCTCCCCTTTTTTTTCTTCTTTCATTTACCTTAGGCTCTAGCAAAGAAAGCAAGAGATGGAAAATTGTTACCAGAAGAGTACCAGGGAGGATCTTTTAGGTAAAACTCTCTAACAGTATTTAATATATGCAGTGTGGGTTCAGAGCTAGTTTATCCTCAGCTATTCCACTGTGTGTTAATGCGTTGCCTTTTAAAATCTTGCTCCATTTAGGATGAAACTCCATGTGATGATTCTGAGGGCCAAACCTAGGCTGAGTGTCCTGTATCGAGGGAAACAATTATTTTGGTACAGGTTTATTTCATCTGAGCCTAGTGTGAAATTCATGTTTTTCATACCGAGACTGATCTGACTTCTTTTTGCACCTAACTTTTCCCAATTGCAGAATAATGTTGTGTGTGTTTGTTTGTTTTTAAATTGCATTCTGTAGTTAGGAAAACCCATTGATAATAGTTTTAAAATATTTTAAAAGGAGTTGTTTGGCAGAGGTATCGCAGCAGATAATGATGTCCAGTTTGTCTTCAATTCACTCTTCAGAGGAATGTCTCTAGAGGGGCAAAAAAAGTTATAGGAAAGTTGTGGTGTTAACTCTTATAGTTTACTTTTAACTGAAACATTAAAAACTGAGTAGATAAATTTTAAATAGTAGCATATATTTAGTAATTTTTTCTGTAAGATGTACTCTGCAGAAAGAGCTAGTGAACTCAGTGACGAGAAATAAATGCCATGGGTAAAACACTAGCATAAATGTAGTGACACAGTTACATAATTAATTTCTTTGCTGACTTTTTATACTCCCCAAGTTTCTAAAACTTTTCATGTACTGTGTTTTCTTTTTTATGACACAGTATCATCAAGCAACATTTTTTGTTATATAAACTTTAGCTTAGCTCACTTCTTGTCAATTTTTTAAAAGCTAGTTCTGAATGCTTATGTTAATCATATCTTCTGAATAGATAATTTGTGATGCGTAATACTACAGACTTCTGCAGAAACATTGCTGTAATGTATATTAAGGTGCCTGGGTTGCAGCTGTCTGGAGTATGTGGCGCTCATGCTGGAGGAGTGGTCAAAAATCTCTAAGCCTTCCAGCAGAAAAACTGGAAACACAGCAATGGAGGCTTGGATGTCTTCGTCAACACAAATGGCCCCTGAGTGTGAATAATTGTGGGCATTTCACTGGTAACAGATGGCAGTACTGAGAACAGCTGTGTGAGATGTGACCAGGTGGATAATCTGCTCAGCCTGGTGGCAGAGCTACAAGAGAAAGTAGAAAGGTTAAGGAGCATCAGGGAGTCTGAGAAAGAGATAGACTGGTGGAACTGCGCTCTACCCTCCCTGAGACAGGAACAGGAACAGCCACTAGAAAAAAAAACAAGATCAAGGGGATCCTGTATCCTCCCCCTGCCAGGCTGAAGGCAGTTGCTTAAAGGACAGGAGTGAATGGAGGCAAGTCCATGCTCAGGGCAGCAGGTGAACCCCCTCCTTCCCCACCTTGCCTTCCCAGGTACCTCTGTACAACAGAGGTATGAGGCTCTGGATGTGGAAGGCCAGTCAATAGATGATGTGGGTGACAGTCCATCTACACCAGAGGTGTTGCCAAGGTCAGAAAAGCCTACCCCCTGTATCACAACCACCTCCACGAGATAGAAAAGACAGGTTAGAGTTGTAGGTGACTCCCTTCTGATGTGAACAGAGGGTCCAATATGCCAGACAGACCCTCCTCTTAGGGAAGTCTGCTGCCTCCTTGGGGCCCCGGTTAAGGACATCACTAGGAAACTTGCTAGCCTGGTACGGCTCTTGGACTATTACCCACTAGTGCTCTTCCACGTGGGTGGTGATGAAACTAAAGCATATGTCTTAAATTAATAAAGCCCCCCTGATCCTAGTATTCCAGACACTGATGATCCACCTCTTTCACTGATAACCTTTCCCAATGTTTATTTATCCTTTCTGCTAGGAAACTACATCTACTTTGCAGACTGAAATTGCCTAATTTCAAGTTTCAGTGATTGGATCTTATGTCTCTGTTAAGAAGCTTGAAAGATTTCTCATTACAGAGATCTTTCTCATGGGTAAGTGTCTATATACAGAGACCAAGTAAATTATCAGCCTTTTCTTTCCTTTAACAAGCCAAATAAAAAGATCTGAAAAGTCCAATATATTTAGGCAACACAACACTACAACGTCTCTGGCCCTGCAACACCATATACTAGACACAGCTAGCTAGCAGATCACTTCACAGTCTGCCAATTGACTGAATCTGCTTAGTAAACCCATACACAGGAAGTGGCACTGCACAGCAGCAAGCTGCATGTCATGTAAGTGGGATTCTTCTGAGGACAGGGCTCATGATACACCACATTCCTTGGCTTCACAGCACACTACATCTCTTGTAATTTGATCCAGTATACCAAAGTAGTATTCTGATATACAGCTTGTAATACAAGAGATACTAGCTTTCTGAACTTTTAAGGATACTTATGAGGCCAAATAAATATATCTTTTTAGATACTATTACGTAAGAGTAGTTTTCCAGCACCTGACTGATTTTTGAGGCTCGCTCTTGAACTATTATATCTGAATCTGTATTGAGTTAGAAAACAGAAATAGACACATAGAAAGTACATTGTATACAATGGCAAGAATCAATTCTGCTTCATATTCCTTTTTCTCTAATATCCAGCATTAGGGCTTATTATCATTCAATAGGAAACACCACCAAATTTCTTCCAGTTGCTGTATTGCTTAGAGTAAGCAGGAACAGCTTTAAAAACTTAGAAATTAATCCTTTTTTCTTTTTTGCCTCATTATCTGGAAGAAAAAGGGCAAGGAAAAAAAAACTAGAAGAATTTTGAGCTGAAAAGCATGCGTCACCTAGAGTGAGAATGCTTCTCATCCTTACTTCCAAGTCCTAAAAGTCACCATGCTTAAGACCTCAGAGAAGACAAAGAAGTGAAACATCAAATAATACACAATGATTTAAGAGAATTAAAAGTGTCCACCCATGTTATGTTATTCATTAATGTTAATACATCCAATAAATCTGACGTTGTCTTTCTCATTGCTACAGGATTATGAAAGATTAAATCATTACACTTGTAAATAATGTAGGTATTCAACCATAAATATTTTAGAGGTTAGGTAGAGTTAAAGACATTACAAAGAAATAATGGAAAAAACTATTTCCATTATTATTTAATCCCTCTTCCCACACAACTCTAGTGGATTGACCACAACACAGGGACCAGGGAAGCAAAGTCCCTCCCACTGTAAGAAAAGATCAGGTTCAAAACCACCTGAGGAACCTGAACATACATAAATCTATGGGACCTGATGAGATGCATCCCAGAGTCCTGAGGGAATAAGCTGATGTAGTTGCCAAGCCACTCTCCATGATATTTGAAAAGACACAGCAGTCAGGTGAAGTCCCTGGCGACTGGAAAAAGGGAAACATTGCACCCATTTTTAAAAGGGTAGAAGAGAGGACCCTGGGAACTACTGACCTGTCAGCCTCACCTCTGTGCCTGGGAAGATCATGGAACAGATCCTCCTAGAAGCTATGCTAAGGCACGTGGAGGACAGGGAGGTGATTCGAGACAGCCAGCATGGCTTCACCAAGGGGAAATCTTGCTTGACCAACCTAGTGGCCTTCTATGATGGAGTGACTACATCAGTGGACAAGGGAAGAGCTACAGATGTCATCCATCTGGACTCCTGTAAGACCTTTGACAACAGTCCCCCACAACATCCTTCTCTGAATTGGAGAGACAGGGATTTGATGGGTGGACCGTTAGGTGGATGAGGAATTGGTTGGATGGTCACAGCCAGAGGGTAGTGGTCAACAGCTCAATGTCCGGATAGAGATCAGTCATGAGTGGTGTCCCTCAGGGGTCCATATTGGGACCAGTACTGTTTAATATCTTCATCAATGACATGGACAGTGGGGCCAAGTGTACCCTCATCAGATTTGCAGATGACACCAAGCCGAGTGGTGCAGTTGACACACCTGAGGGATGGGATGCCATCCAGAGGGACCTGGACAAGCTCAAGAAGTGGGCCCACGTGAACCTCATGAGGTTCAACAAGGCCAAGTGCAAGGTGCTACACCTGGGTCAGGGCAACCTCTGGCATCAATACAGGCTGGAGGAACGAAGGGGTTGAGAGCAGCCCTGCTGAGGAGGACTGGTGGATGAAAAACTGGACATGAGCCAGCAATGTGTGCTCGCAGCCCAGAAAGCCAACTGCATCCTGGGCTGCATCAAAAGAAGCATGGCCAGCAGGTCAAAAGGAGGTGATTCTGTCCCTCTGTACTCTGCTCTGTTGAGATCCCACCTGGAGTACTGCAACCAGCTCTGGAATTCTGTGTACAAGACAGACGTGGATCTGTTGGAGTGGGCCCAGGGGAGGGCCATGAAGATGATCAGAGGGACGGAACACCTCTCCTTCAAGCAAAGACTGAGAGAGTTGGGATTGTTTGTTCTGGAGAAGAGAGGGCTCTGGGAAGACCTCATTGTGGCCTTTCAATACTTGAAGGGGTCTTATAAGAAAGATGGGTACAGACTTCTTAATAAGGCCTATAGCGATAGGACAAGGGGTAATGGTTTTAAACTAAAAGAGTGCAGATTCAGACTAGATATAAGGAAGAAATTTTTTTTACAGTGAGAGTGGTGAAACACTGGAACAGGTTTCCCAGAAAGGTGGTAGATGTCCAATCCCTGGAAACTTTCAGGGTCAGGCTGGATGGGGCTCTGAGCAAAGTGATGCAGTTGAAGGTGTCCCTGCTCACTGCAGGGGGTTTGGACTAGGTGACCTTTAAAGGTCCCTTCCAACCCAAACTAGTCTGTGATTCTATACAGATTAATCTTTTTTTTCCACTCTTCGCAGTAACTATAACAAAAAGGAGAAGATGATAGGCCAGCTTTCTCTATAGACAATCTGTCACAAAAGAGTCCAAGCCTTTCCTAATATACCACTTCCCAGTTTGTGACACAGGCAAAAATGTTCACGGGAGAAAGGCATGTGCCAGAGTGATGTCTAGATGCTGAAATTGTATCACTTATCAGCTACCATTGTAACTTAAAGTTGTGAGGTTCAATCTAAAAGACATTGGGCTTGGAACAGGGACAGGCAAAGTTTATCTGAAGATATCACTTTCCTGTCCTACTTTCTGCATTTACTGTGTGCAATGCAAGGATATATTACTGTAAAGAAATGGGACTTTTAAAAAGGTGCATTAGTTATAATTGCAAAAATCGCAAACCCTTGAGAGTCTGAATGTCCCCAACTGAAATCCAGTTCAGATTTATTTTAAAGTTAATGGGTTTGACCTTGGGAGAGAATTAGGTCATAGTAGTCATTGAATATAGATTATTTCTTCTAGGGGATATATAATTTCTGACATTACCAGTAACTCTTTTCTCTTTCATTTAGTATCTCCAATCTGGGCATGTTTGGCGTCAATGATTTCACTGCAGTCATAAACCCTCCGCAGGCCTGCATCCTAGCTGTGGGCCGAGCAAGACCAGAGCTCAAGATTGTGGAAGATGAAGAAGGGAATGAGAAACTTAAGCAGTATCAACTCATGACAGTGACTCTTTCAAGTGATGGTCGGGTAGTAGATGACGAACTGGCTTCAAAGTTTCTGGAGACCTTGAAAGCCAACATAGAGAATCCAGTGCGGCTTGCCTTGTGTTAAACTCAATGAAGATTGCTTCTTGTTTTGACAACATAGATAACTGTTATGTACTTGGGGTTGCTTTTCTGTAGAGAGGAGTAAAGAGTTACTGTGAGATGGACAGTTGAAATATTTAATGTATTGAATTAACATCAGAAACTATTAATTTTCATGCTTTTAGTCTTTTGCAATGACTAGGTTTTATACTGTAAAGCTAAAAGACTTTAAAGTTAACATACTACATTTCTTTAAACACTTAGTACTAAATGGCACGTAACACTTGCATAGACAAGTCAGTCTCATCTGTAAAGGAAAATTCAAGATAACCTTGTGAAATTTAAGTGGGAATCATAGACTAGTTTGGGTTGGAAGGGACCTTTAAAGGTCACCTAGTCCAAACCCCCCTGCAGTGAGCAGGGACATCTTCAACTGGATCACTTTGCTCAGAGCCCCATCCAGCCTGACCTTGAAAGTTTCCAGGGATTGGACATCTACCACCTCTCTGGGAAACCTGTTCCAGTGTTTCACCACCTCTCCTTTTAAAAAAAAATTCTTCCTTATATCTAGTCTGAATCTGTGCTCTTTCAGTTTAAAGCCATTACCCCTTGTCCTATCGCAACAGGCCCTGCTAAGAAGTTTGTTCTCTTCTCCAGAATAAACAACCCCAACTGTCTCAGCCTTTCCTCATAGGAGAGGTGTTCCAGCCCCTTGGTCATCTTTGTGGCCCTCCTCTGGACCCACTCTGACAGATCCATGTCTTTCTCGTACAGAGGACTCCAGAGCTGGACGCAGTACTCCGGGTGGGGTCTTCCCTGTGCTGAGATGGGATGCTTTATTTAAGGCCTAAATATCTAGCTTTTAGAGTGAAGAAAGCAAGAATCATAATTGAGCAAAGTGCTGCTATGAGTTCTGGTCAATACTGAGATAAGAGTAGCTAAATTATATTTCTGCAGTAGAAAGTTTTCCAGTTTTCAGAAGACTTTTCAGGCATGTTGTGCTATCCAAATTAGATTGAAATAAGGTTTATAAGATTTTGACAGGTATTTCAATGGCTTCCTAAATAAAAGCAAAGACATTACAAACTGAAAAAGTTTTGGTTTAATTTCATTTACATTACAGATTTAACTGTTCTTTATCTTCTCCTTTAGTATAAGCTACATTGAAGAAAACAAAGTGACTGTGGAGATGAATGGAGAAAAGAAATGAAAGGAAATTCTGAGAAAGACTAAATTAGATCATAGATAAAATAGCAGTTTCTCAAAATGTTAAGTAATCTGGTGATTAGCTTCATTTGTATAATTAGAACTCGTTAAAACACATTTAGACTGTAGGTGCATCTATTTTTTTCCAGTATTTTAAGATAACTGCATAATCTAATGCCTTGCAGAGGGGTAAAGAAGAGAATAATCTTGTCTCAATAAATGCATTCTCCATAAAGGATGGAATCTCAGCGTCATTGATTTTTAGATTTTGATGGAACCAACATTTAGAGAAAACAACATTTTGTCTGAAAAATTAATAGGTTTTCCTTCACTTAATTTGGAGACAATTACATTTTCTAAATTTAGAAGTTGCCCCAACTCAGATATCTTCTTCAGTACCACAAAATATAAAAAAAAATTTTTTTTCAGGTGCTCTGTGATATATTGTGGTTAATTTAAAACCCAAGTTAATTGTGCCAGCAGTACTGTGATGAAAAACTAGCTTTGATCTCTCAGCCTCATAGAGGTTCCAGTATCAAAGGTCAAATTTTGCACACTGAATATTTGCTGATTAATGCTGTTCTTCTCACGGATAGAATAAAGATGTAAGTAGAAGGTCTTACATCATCAGCATATATTGAACTGTAACTTGGAGGCTTAAGTGCAGTGGCCTGAAGTTTAAATTAACAGTAGATTTTTTTTTTCTTATATATAAATATGGAACCATGTGTTTTATGTGTTTGTAATGAAATAACGTCTTTTACAGGAGCTGGTGAGAATATAAATAGTAGAATTGTGGGAGTTTGTCTTATTCTAGTTTGTGCAAGTACTTTTTTTTAAAGATTTGGATGACTTGTTTGTTGAGCTGCTGCCATAATTAAAAAGCTAATTGCAAGACAAAACCTTTAGTTAATACTGAGTTGAGAGTTTTTGCTAAATGAGTTTGCTTCTTTGGCTTGTTCTGATATCATAAATTTCATAAACTATTAATCTAACAGTTGGGAGAGATTTTGATTACCAAATATAGTTTACTGTGCAATAATGGACATGTCCATTCTGTATTTCCAGGAGTTTCTCACTGATAAATTATATTCAAGATTGGGTGCTGAAGATTAATTTGCAATTTTAAATGGTTAACCATGAATTTTTCCAAAGTTGTTTATCAATTCCATATTACTTTGAAGGGAAAAAACCCACCAGTTTATATAGTGTCCTTAACGTACAAGAAGTTCTCATTGTTTGCATAGCTAAATCTTGTTCTGCCAAAGAGAATTTGCAGACTTACTTAAAATCTGATACACTGGGGTTTTTTGTACTTAGTGCTCTAGTGTTGTCATGTGCTCCCCAGCATTTGTATATTCTACTCTTTAGCTGGCCAGTTAAGGGCTGCATGACTGATGTTTACAACTATAGTTTTGCATGTATGTGTTCATGTAGTGTGAGTCAGTATGTTTTACTTTTGCTTTTGGAGCCACTGGAAGGTGCTATTGTATGTAAATATAGAATGTTTATCATGTCTCATTAGTGTGGGTACTAATACAGCCATTATACTTTCCCTGTTCAACACAGACAGGTGAAGACAATGCAACTTTTTCTCCAGGTTAAATAAACCTTTACAACTTTTGAACTAGGCAAATCTCAGTAAGGCTAATACGAGCTTTAATTCCAATTTCTTTACATCTGCCTACTTGCCAGCATTGTCATTTGACATAAAGGTGGATGTATGTGATTTGTCAATCATCAGCCTGTGAAGGAAATCTCTGGAATTCAGACATGTGATAGCAGTCAGATCTCCTTAATTCAGAGTAATCGTACCATTTGGCAACATCTACTACTTTAGCAGAAGTGAGACAACAAATAATTGCCCATACAGATTAAAATAAAACATTGATTATCTTCCTGAAGAATTTAGAGATTTGGGGATGGGGGCAATGGCCCAGAAGGTGAACTGTATGAAATGGTTATGGTTTACCCTTGAAGAAAATTTGCCTAGAAGTAAAAATTCCACAGGTGAAAAATATAACTTTTCATGGTTTATTCTTTCAAATGTCTTCTGTTAACATCTTTTTACATACCTAAGCAAGAAATACCATGAAGACATTATTTTCTTGAAGAATTAAAAAAACAAAAATAAAAATTTAAGGAGTATGCTAAGGGCTGCTGGAAACGTCTGCCTTTAGGATATGCTTGGGGAAAATTACTTTCTTTGTATCATTTTCCTTTGCAAGAGGCATAGTTAGAGAAAAATAAAGGATAGCTATTTTGGGCTTTGTGATTGTTGGCAAGTATTGAACTGTGTCACACTTTAATCCCTAATTATGCTGATTTTTTTGGATCTTTTTTCCTGCAATGTATTCCTTATGAAATAAAATTGCTGTAATTAATCTGCCTACATGTAATCCCTGAAAGAGCCACAGTCCTGCAAAGTGAATGCTCAGTGCTATTTTCACCTAATCCTTTTGTCCACATGCTCATCTCCATCCATACAAAATACAGTAGACACTTATTTCAGATAATGATTAGTCCCAATGGATACAACAGAATTTTAAAGTTGAGTAGGAAGCCAAAATATGACAAATAATCCAAGAAACTTTGTTTCAAAGTCTGAACACGTGCTTTTCTGTGCTGTGCTGTACAGAAAGTTGCATATTGATTGCATTAAAGTATACGCAATTGCAGGGTGAGTTAGGGGGAAACTAATTCAGAATTGTTGGAACTAAGTGTCATGCTTGATGTGTTTTTCATATGCGATAATTTGTGCCATAAGGTGACGGAAAATAAAGTGCCATTAGGGTTATGGTGGTGACCTGCAGGTTTGAAACTGATTTTTTATTTTTTTATTTTCTTGGCTTTTCTTGCATGACTTCTCATTTTTCCACTGAGATTTTGTCCTGGATTACATCAGACCATAACAAATATTTTTTCCTCCCTAAAATCCACTGAAAATGTTGTGCATTGTTGTAATTTCTTTGAAAGTAGTGGAAATAAAGCACATAGTAAATAATGGTTGCACAATGACCAGTGCCATGTAATGTCTGTGTGTTCAAAAGCCTCTTTGATCTGTTTTCAGATCAAAAGAAATATGGCCAGCAGGTCGAGGGAGGTGATTCTGCCCCTCTACTCTGCTCTGGTGAGACCCCACCTGGAGTACTGTGTCCAGCTCTGGAGTCCTCTGTACGAGAAAGACATGGATCTGTCAGAGTGGGTCCAGAGGAGGGCCACAAAGATGACCAAGGGGCTGGAACACCTCTCCTATGAGGAAAGGCTGAGACAGTTGGGGTTGTTTATTCTGGAGAAGAGAACAAACTTCTTAGCAGGGCCTGTTGCGATAGGACAAGGGGTAATGGCTTTAAACTGAAAGAGCACAGATTCAGACTAGATATAAGGAAGAATTTTTTTTCACAGTGAGAGTGGTGAAACACTGGAACAGGTTTCCCAGAGAGGTGGTAGATGTCCCATCCCTGGAAACTTTCAAGGTCAGGCTGGATGGGGCTCTGAGCAAAGTGATCCAGTTGAAGATGTCCCTGCTCACTGCAGGGGGGTTTGGACTAGGTGACCTTTAAAGGTCCCTTCCAACCCAAACCATTCTATGACTGAAATCTACTACTCTTTAGCTATTTGTTCAATTTGAGCTTGTGCTGATTATTGTTCCTACTGCTGCAAGGTTAGTAAATAATTTGTTAGATCATTATACCGATTATTCTAGTAATGGAAGTAACTTCTACTGCCTTTCATGTGGTAATATTTCAACTTAAGTTCTGTACCACTTCCATGTTGTGGAAGGGCCTTTTTTCAGCGTGTTGTTCACGGCTGATTTGCCTTAACTGCTCTCATTCATCCTATTTTATTCTAGAACCTAAGTTCAGAATGATTTTTTTTTTCCAAGGCTTTGAATTAAAATATCCCTTCACTTCTTATGAAGTACTGCAGCACAACTAATAAGTTTAACTAGCCATCCAGCTGTTCTTAATATTTTTCTGAGTTTTCCAGATCAGGAGAGATTCTCATCTAGTACTATAGTGTATCATGGATCAGAAATACATAGCTATTATTTCCTTTACCCTGAAGTCTGCTAATAAGCAGTGAAGCATTATCATTTAAGAAGTGTCCTGGCACCTACAATTTCCTGTGGCCCCAATACTTGTTT